TAAATCTTGGAAACAACACAAATGCTCATCAGCTGAGGAATGGATTAAAAAAGGTGTGCTTTTTAATACAATGGAGTATTACTTAGCTATAAAAAAGATAAAATTGAGACTTTTATGGGTAAATGGATGCAACTAGAGTCCATACTCATAAGTGAAATAAATCATACCCACATGTGTAAACGTGATATTGTCTCCCTGGTGTAAGAACCTGAACGTGCAAATAAAATCTGAAAGGTATGATAGATACTGTGAAAGGAGAGAAACTATTCAAAGGGAAGGAAAAACTGGGATGAGGGAAAGGAGAAAAGAGAAACAAGGAAGGGAAAAAACAAATATATCAATACATACACAGGAGGGCTGGCCAAATAGCTCAGGGATTTCATCCCCAGGCCTGCCATGCTGGCCCTGCCCCCTAGGCATGCTGAGATGGCAATTGAGACTGGGTGTGGTGGCGCGCACCTGTAATCCCAGCTCTTGGGAGGCTGTAAACAGGTGCATCACTATGAGTCCGGTCTAGTAGTGAGACCCTGAACACCCTATAGACCCTTTCCTAAAATACCAAAAAAAAAAAAAAATCTAAACTATCATACAGAGAGAGAGAGAGAGAGAGAGAGAGAGAGAGAAAAAATAGCTTAGATAATTGTGCTATTGGTTTCTTCTGATCTATTGAAAGAAGTAGTTAATGCAAAATAATGAGATTAATCATGTTTTTAATAAGCTTGTATTCTGTCAAGGACAGTAAGATGTGTGTGTGTAACTAAACATGAGATAAAAACATTGGTAAGCACCACAAGAAAGGAGTAAGTCAAGTGTTAAGGATCTATGTTTTACATCTCCTCGGGGCTGTATTCTTGGTCCAAGACTGAATCTTCCTCAGCTCCTAACACAAAACTTTGCACATAGGATGCATTCAGTTAGTGTTAGCTTAGAAGGGGAGCTGTAAATTGTTCTGTAAGTTTATGCCTATTCAATGAATGTCATTTTTACCATCCAAACTGAATCCAAAGCTTCAATCTAAAGATATTATTTATACTAAGATAATGCTTCATTAGAATTGTTTTCATTTTCCTGAATACCTTCTATCTTTTCACTGTATTTTATTTTCTAATTTTTTATTTTAAGGCTCATTTTACTAAATCGTACATGTTACCTTAATGTTCAATTTATTCAGATCTGTAAGTTTCATGGAATGTAGCTATATTCTTTATACCTGTTCTGTATCAGTAATCACAACTCATAAAAACCAGCTCTGATGACTCTGGTGGTCTGTGGGATTTTGCTTTTATTATGTATAGCTTTCTTAAAAAAATAGCATACAATAAATGATTATCAGAGATTTAGGAAAAGTAACAATTCTGTTTTTCCAAAAAGCAACTATATTGTTTATTCCAAAGGTTCACTAAATTGAGTCTATCTATCTAAAGATAGATTTGTTTCCAAAGATTTTTCTTTTTTACTAGTTGAAATTCCCTAAACAACTCAAGATTCAGTAGAATAAATGGGCTTCCTTTAGATCTTTGGAATTACGAGAAAAACTGAAAGCGCAAAGATATATAAGGGGGGCTGGGGATTTGGCTCAGCGGTAGAATGCTTGCCTAGCAACCTGGAATCCCTGGGTTTGATCCTTGGCACCAAAAACAAAAAAATAAAAAAAAAAGATGTATAAGGACTCTGTCTCTTAAGTCTTTTCATGATTCTTCAAGTAATGAAATGTTGGACATATAAGGAGGATGACATGTATTGTGTATTAAATTTAGGTAGGATATATTGGGTATGATACCAGCTATTATGTACCAATACCTTTTCAGCTCTTCACCACTTCTACCAAATCTCTTCAGCATGGAACTTTTCTTTGCTAGCTAAACCCAACAAGACTTTTTATAGTGTTTCACCTACTCCTGTTTGGAAGACACTTAATTTTAAAAGGACACAATGAAGTGAAAAAGGAAACCAAAAGGCAGCCTTTCTTTTGCCTGAGTTCTAGTGGTTTGACTTTACTACTTGTGACTTTTTATTGCTGCTGAGTCGTGGCATACAGAATTCTGAAAGTTTAATTTCTTTAGAGGCTTGTTGTATTAGAAAAATTGTTCCAAAGAAAGCAACAATCTTGACATAAGCACATCTGGCTCTTGCAAATTATTCTTTATTAAACTTTCATTTAATTACATTGCTTAAAAGTCTGTTTTTGATTACTATAATTTTTTATTTGTCCATCTGAGTGATAGTAATGTTGGAAATTATAACAAACCACCTGTCCTTCCCCCCAGCCCCCTGCTCACTAATAGGGCAGAGTTTAAGGAATTTGCTCTGTAGTTGGTGAACTAGGAAGCTTTTTATTTATTATGATAGAAATTTGACTGTCAAGGTAATGGCTTAATCTTCATTATAAAAGGAAAAGAAAATATTTAAATGAAGTTTTCAAGTACTGGGGCATCTGACTTAAGCATAACACTTTAACACATTGATTTATGGCTAGTTTTTTTATGAATCCTAATATAATAATAATTAAGAGTTTTAGGCATAAAACCTCAAGTAAAAATAAGAAGGTCAAGAAGGTCTCTGGAATATTTTGGGATATGAAAAATGGATAAGTGACATAACTGTTTTAGCAGGGAGAAAAATCTGATACCTAAGTTTTAAAAATGTAAAGCCAAAAACAAAAATCAAGCTCATTTGTGTGCAGAATCTTTGAAATGCTTAGGAACTGAAGGCATCATGTATTACCGAAGACAAGGAAAAAAATATAGACAACGTGACAGGTTGAAAACAGATACAAATTTGATCCCTCCCCAACCTTGTTCAGCCTGGTATCTACCATCCCTTCCTCCAGCCATCTCATACCCTCTCAGCAGACTGGAGGTATGTTCTCTAGAAAAGCTGAACACAAGAGGATTTTGTCTTGGGACCATCAAGCATACTGCAGAATTATGCTATTTTGAAAACAAGGAGGCTACATGATAGGCCAGCCAGTGAGGTCTCCCGGTTCTTAGCTGGCCTAATGGTGGCCTACACACCTATCCTGAAACTAGAGAGAGACCCTGCAGATAACTCTCTAAGAAAATGGCTTGGAATAAGGGACATGACCTACAGATAATGACATTTGGGATCCCCAAAGAAAAATGCAACTATCTGCATTATTATCAATCAATAAATCTAACCCTACATTCAGACTTTCCAGTAAGCTTTTGAGTTTATCAGTCTCAGAGATGGATAAAAGGTCAATGAACACCTGAGCAAGAACTCAAGTAACTTTTAAAGTATTTATTTATTTATTTATTTGGTATAGTGTCTTGCTATGCAGCTCAGACTCAGTGATCATCCTGTCTCAGCCTCCCCAGCTCTGGGATTATAGGTACGAGCCACCATGCCCAGTTTTGGTGTCTGGCTAGCTCTGCGTGTGGTACCAGAGATTGAACCTGTGTCTTTGCACTTGCCAGGCAGGTGCTTAGAGCAGCAAGTTATCTCCCAGCTCCAGAAGTCAAATAACTTAAAAGAGAAGAAGACATAGTGCAGAAAATAGAAAATGAAAATAAATCCCAAACTTACCACTGACACCCAATAAAGTAGAGAACAGTATGCTATAAAAAGAAAGAGAATAGAAGCATACCCAACGATAAATAGCAGAATTTGTCATAGAAGTATTGGGAGACAGGGTTAAAACATATACCATAGAGTATAACCAAATATCAAAGATTGGCCAATACAAATTAAAAATGAGAAAAAGAGACAGTCAGTGAGGAAGCCCAACATTTATCTATGAGTTTAAGGAAGAAAATAGAGAGAGAAGATTTATTAATGAGAAATATAAAAAAGTTCCTTAGAACTGAAAGACACAAGTTTATAGGTTCAAAGGGCTGAGTTTCCAAAACATAGATGTACAAGTCATATACAAATGAACCCCACAGTAAAATTTCAAAATATATGCTATAAAGGGAAGATCCTGAGGTTTTTGGGGGAAGAAAATGGATTCCATACACACGATTAGGAATCAGAATAATATCCAACTTCTTTAGCAATAAGAAGATAACAGCTTATTGTCTTTGAAATGGTGAGGAAGAATTATTTTGAATTTAATATTCAGTATTAGTGAAACTATAATCAAGAGGAGGAATATAACAATAATATTTCTAGAGAGATTAGTTTTTTAAAAAATTAACCTCATATCCACCTGTCTCAAGTATATCTGGGAGGATGTACTCAAACGAGCGAACAAGCAAATCAACAGTTTACTAACAGACAGACACAAATAATAGGTAGGAAATGAGAAAAACAGGCATGAAGGAAGCTCTTTGTTACCAAACTCAAGTTGAAAATGAAGTGGGCAGCTCCTGTGCTGATAAAAGGAAACTTGACTTGTTGTTTTTATTGCTGTAAATCTGGCAATATTTTGTTGAAAATTGTATTATTCATATGCTCTCTAGGAATAGGACCCCAAGGAAAGAGTGGACACCACTGGGCCTCTGGTGGCAGCAGTCACCAGCCAGAAAGGTCTGAGACCCAGAAAGCTTACCTGTGCTGAATAGGATTGATGTAGTTCTTCCAAGAATCTATAGGAAAGTTCAGTTAGTTCCTTAGTTAGTAGTAATACAATTACATGAGTGAGTAGAACCAGACATTTGAAGGGCTTTACACAGAGAATTTAGGCAGTGGAGTCTTAGAGACTACTTAATCCAATTCCTCTTTTGGAGTTAATGACTGAGTTCAAGAGAGTTCAAATCTTTTATCCAGGTTGAAACATTAATTGCTGAAAGAAACAGGTATAGAGCTGTGAATCCCATACCAGTGTGCTTTCCTTCTGTTATATAATTTCAGTTTGGGGGCTTTTGGTTGTTACTGTCTTTGCTTTCCTTCTTAAAAAAATAATAAAGAGTAACTGCAAGACTCTGAGAAAAATAGTTTCCTAACAATACGGTAAGTGGATTTTTTAAATCCTTCTTCTTTGCAAAACTCTGTCTCTGCTACATTTAAAGAGATCAATGTTTGTCTTCCCTGTTTTGCAGCAGCTCTACGCCGCTCAGCTGGCCAACATGCAGGTGTCACCTGGAGCAAAGATGCCATCAACTCCACAGCCTCCAAACACAGCAGGGGCAGTCTCACCTACTGGGATAAAAAATGAAAAGAGAGGGACCAGCCCTGTAACTCAAGTTAAGGTATTTGCTTTGCAGGATTGTGGAGACAGTTTGGAAAAAAAAAAGCTTCACAAGAAAGGTAGTGAACCAGGCTACACTGGGAATGAGCAGCAGGAGCCACAGCAACATAAAGGATCCCCCAACTGCTCTTCTTTCTGGTACATTTCATGATTGAGCATTGAGAAACAGGTGTTTCCTTTTGATAACAATAGTGCCATATTGTGAGATCTTTACCTAAATCTACAAACTCACGTCTCACAAAATTTCTCCCTTTGGATTCTGGCTTTTATTTTTTAATGTTCATTGGCATAAATGGCTAAGGTTTTATTTCCAGTCTTTATCATAGGCTTGTGATACTTTTTCTCCATGTTCCTTAAAAAGGTGGGAACCATGTGTAGTCCTAGAGAAAGGAGATCTTGAATTCTTAGATTTAAAAGGAGATTGAAAAAGATTTCTGGGTTTTACGCAGTTCATTGATAAAGGTCTCAAATGTAAAATGGCATCTCTGAGAAATGAATGGTGTCATTACCCCATCAGGCCTTTGATGCCATAGAATGATGATAGGATGAATAAGCTGTCCCAGGTTATGGCTGCGACATTAAAAGATGCATTTCCACATCTTGAAGCAGGGCATTCAGGAAGTATTTAGCCATAGAGGGAACTTTATGCTGCAGCTGGTACCTATAGAAGTATTGGTTTGTTGTTTTGATTGCATTTGCTTTATATATTGAATTATTAAATTCAAATAGTGCAGAGACAAAATTGTTTTATATGGGTAACTTACTGACTCAGACTTGTATGCCAAAAATAGATGCTTTATTAAGATGAGGCAAAAGTACTGCCTTTGGAGGATTTTTGTAATTATTAAATGTGCACAAGGCAAACAGCCAACACCAACCAAACTTAGTATTGTGTCCTATCTGGTCACTGAAGTTGTTCTATTTTCTAAAGATTGGAGGTAGGAATTTTGAGATTTCACAAAGTCTGGAGAAAAATGGACTCATAAAGTCAAAGATCAAAAAACATTGTTAAGACAAAGAATGCCAGAGGTCCACCCTTGAAAATTGATTTAATTCTACTCTTTCTTTTAGAGCCTTCAACAAAATAGATGAACATTTATTTATGTTTTGTTGTTAGAAATACTGAAATATGACAATAGGCAATTTACACTTCATAATATACTAGGACTTATAGAAACAGGCTTTTTCGAATTTCAGCAGTCTGTCTTGTGATTAAGATTCAGAACACTCTAACTGAAACCAAGATGCCTGGTTTAACCACAGTTGTTAGAGTGTATCAAACATCAGTGACTTGAACTATTTAGTATTAAATATTTTAACATGAAAAAGTCATTTCATAAGTAAGTTAGCCAACTGGAACTGCACCAAACCAAGCCTTCACTGGATGACTAAAATGTTCCCTGGTTAAATTCTAGTGTATAACTGCTTTCACCATGCCATCTTTGTGGCCAGCTGAATTTTATTACTCATTTGGCCACATGCAAATTCTTAGGGAGTTCTCTGTGTAATTTGACTTGGCCATATTTTATCTTAATGACAAAGGAAACATTGCTCATACTTGATTGTTTGTGGTATATGAGAGTAAAAATATGTAAATGAAGACACAAAACTGTTTTAAAATTTTAAATAGTTCCTATTATTGAAGTACTTTTGAAAATTATGTCATAGTTTGCTAATTAGAAGATTTTGGATCACTAAAATCTCTCATATTTCTCTGTAGCCATTGCTTTTCCTCCATATAGTGTAATTGCTTGTTTTAAACTCACACATTACAGAGGGCAAAGTTTGCTGAATGTAACAAAAATATAAATGTCTTATGTACTTTCTTTTCCTCAGAACTTTTATCTACTCTGATGACTGATAATGAAGTCAGAATATTTCTATTCAAATACCTGTTCTACCACTTTTACTAATGTGTAACCTTGGGCAAATTGATTTCTTTTGGCCTTAGTTTTCTGCTCTCTACAATGCTAGTTAATATCATGATGGATCTTAAGTGAGATAATATATTTGCTAGCATATGATGAGTGTTTCATAAATGTTGATGGTAATGATGGCATTCGTGATGGTAATAAAGGAGATGATGTGGTAGTTTTAGTGACTGGAGCTGAAATAACTAGTTGTCTACTTGTGTGCTGAGTAAGATCCTAATGAAATGCTGACTTCCCTTGTCAACTAAATGCAATGGCCTCCAGACATTTATAAGAGTACAGGACATGATCCCTGTGAGAGGAGAAACAGTGTAGTGCTAGGCTTTTTCCAGCTTACTGTCCACAGGGAGTTTCTGTGCAACTGTACAGGGATCTTGGAAGGCTTTGTGAGTAGAGACAAGGGGATTGGAGTTTAAGGATGCTGACATAGGTAGGATGTGTGAGGTAGGGTACCAGACAAGAGAAAGCTGTGTACAGCAGAGTGCTCAAGTTTTATGAGAGTTCCTGTATGCTTGGATACTGATTACTACATTCATGCGAAGACTAAAGCCAGGGAACAATACCAGAATGCATCAGGCAAAATAACTTTATGGCTCACAAAGAACCATTGCATTTGCATTAGCCAGGGAATGAAGGTTGCTTGACATGTAGGGCATCAAGTAGAGTCTCCAGAAGTATATTACTTCATAGTGGGCCTAAATTATCCTTAGATCAGTGGGTGTTCTGAACCTACTTAAAATATCTGAAAAGCATGCCTTGGAGGAATCAAATTGTTCTGTTTCTTAAAATGGATTTGACAAATATTTGAAGAAATGCATAAACTAGCACCGACATTATGAAAGCCACAGTGTATAATGGCTCTGTTCAGTAATTGCCAGAAAACATGAATAAGGAAGATAAAAAGCAGCCAGTTTCAAACAATGACACCAATGTGCCAAATGACACCAATGCTAGAATTAATAGATAAGATATTAAAAACAGGGGCTGGGGAGATGACTTAGTGGAATAAGCACTTCCCTGGAAAGCACAAGGGCCTGAGTTCAATCCCCTGTTACACACACACACACACACACACACACACACACACACATACACACACACACACACAAGATATTAAAAACAACTATTATAGACAATCTCCAACTATATCTATGGGAGGAGGTGGTCAAATTTACTACAGCCCAGGGACATAAAGCTGGGGAAGACTGACAAAAATGATCATCTTAGCACTCTGGAAATTGACCAGCCAAAGGTCTATATCTATATACCTTTATATCTCTCTCTGTTTCTGTCTCTGTCCCTGTCTCCATCTGTCTCTCTGTCTGTCTCTCGCTGTATATATCTCTCTGTCTCTGTCT